GGTACACACTCGGTAAGTAATCCTATAATTTTTTGTTTATAGCGTAGTTTATACGGATTATTCCCAAAAAATTATACGTGTTTTGGAAATGTTGAGTGGAATTAGTCTAGAATCGGTTAATTTTATAGAAGAAAACCTTTCAAACAGCCTTAGTCCGTAAAGTTCCCACCTATCGGGCTGCGATTGGCTCATGTATTTAATCATTCCTACAACGTAATTTTCAGTTAGCGTGCAACGTATCTAAGCGTTATAGGGGGGTCTACTGTAATGAAAAGAGCAAGAAATCATAGCAAATTAGCATTACAATTGTCAAGTCACATGACTTAATTATCAATGAGACTGATTAATTATTCATCAAAAATGATTTCTCTTTCATTGTTTACTGTTCATCAGTCAGACTATAAATAAATAATAATTGCTAAAAAAATTAAATAAGAAAAAGTTTAAAGTAAATGACATGCGTAGTCAATTGTGCAGCTTCTAAATATAAATTTATAAATAGTCCGCTAAGACTTAATATTTAGAGAGGGAAATTTATTGAAAACAACTTTTTAAGATAAAAGTTTAAGTAGGAGTGTTTATTATTATTACTTAATGTATAATTGATACACATGGAGTGTTTGTTGATTCCATTGTCTTGCATAATCTTGAACAAATGTATTAATTGGGTTTTAGAACATTCAGCTTGGGAGAAGATTGCATTAGCAAGATTTGTTTGTGGTTTGTTTTGGATTAAGTAGATGTCTATAAATTGTATGAGTAATAGGATTGATTTTAAAAATTTGTTTAAAAATGTAAATGGAGTTTGTTTATTAAAGTTAAATCATTTTGATAATTTTATCTCAAAGCTGAATAGTGGCATATTATCAAGCACCTTATGCTGGTGGTATAAAAATTTGAATAAATCTTTTTTTGATTGCTTTATTTATAATAATAATCTTTCTTGTAATATTACAGCAGTATTAATGTACGTTAAGTGTAATTCATTACGTTTTTATGTAATTACAGAAGAGATATTTGCATGTGTGGTATATTCATTATTGGATGCATATCACATGATAGCAAGTAATTTGTACTTTTTCTCAAAATTAATGTAAGGAGATTTTTGGTGTTATTTCCTTTTTATTAATAGTTTTGTGAAAGTAATCTATGATTCTGATTCTTTTATCAAGTTATTTATTTTATTAAAAAGGTTAAATTGTTTAGCTTATGATGTTTTCTTTGTGGTAATGTGATTTATTTTTCTTTTAGAGGCTCATAATGTAAAAGCCGTTGATAATTTTATGCTAATTGCATCCTGGGGTGTAGTTTGCAGGTTATTTAACCAGCAGTTAGCTTTAGTTATTTGCGAGACTGGATAATTTCTGAATAAGACTAATCTGATTTTTTTTTATTTCTATATAAGATATAGTTTTTTATTGTACTTTTTCTTTGGGTAGTTCTCCCAATTTTACCTTTGTATTTTATTTATGTTATGTGTATTTATGTTTTATATTAACAGATATGTTGTATAATTTTGTATGATTTCTCCCCACATCATGGTTGTACCAGTATGCTTAAATAAATAAATAAATAAATAGATAGATAAATACACATAAAATGAACAGAACTAAAGACAAAGCATGTATGTATATATGTATGTTTAGTAGTTTTGGGAATAATCATAGTGATAGATAAATGTCTGCAACATGTAAAGAATTTTTTATGTTTCATAAAGGTACTCTTTGTGATTTTAAATGAAAGTTGTTTTGTGAGTTCATAACTGAGTCAAAATCAGCAAATAAAAAGTTAATTTGTAAGTAATGTTGGTTAACATAATTGACTATCTCACAAAATTATGTTAACAATAAAATAATGACAAAAATTATTGTATTAATTAATAGAATAACTAAATTGAAACAATAATTAATTATTAATGAAAATCTATAAAATGATAACCTTGCATTAGTTTTATTTGAAAGAAATTCAGAACCTAGATTATAGCTTATGTTAAGCATTCCTTTCCAATCTGAAGGTGCCTCTGGTCCTCCTAAATTTCTAATAAATTAAAAATAAAAAAAATAAATAGTTATCTATTTCATATTATCTAGCAAATAAAACATTACAAATAACTTTTCACTAACTTCATAAGAACCTGAGCATCATTATAACTAATTGGCTGAGAAGGTATTCTTGGTAAGTCAATTTCATTCAATGGTATTCTATAAACTCCATCTAGAGAGAAGAATTATACTTTTAGCGGCTTTTAAAGCAAATTATACAAAATAATTTATTGTAATTTACCAACAGATGGTAAAAATGGAGTATTTGGATCTCCTGGATAAGTTTTCAGATTACCCCTGACAACACCATCTCCAGGAAGCCCTATGTTTTCTGGATAAGTTTTCAAACTTCCTCCTCCATGATCTATTGGATCAGGATATAATAATGCAGCTACAGCTCCAAACTTTTCAGCAAGTTTTATCTGTACTTAAAAAAATATGTTTTTATGCTAAAAGTTATATTATCTGAATAGTTATCATTTAAATTCTTTTAGAACAAAAATTAATATTCATAATGTATAAAGAAAAATAACAAACCTTTGAACCTCTATGAGTTTTACCATTTCTCATGATTACTACAGCATTTTCTACTGAAACATTTACTTTCTTTAAATATTCAAAATCTTCTAATCTCCCATAATGTGCATAAACTAATTTTCCCTAAAATAAAAAAAAATTATATATATTTTTTAACATTTTATGTAAGTTTTGATTATCTAAAATTTAAAATATTTTAAACACTTACTTACCTGTGCTTCTGTCTTTGGAGAATAAGCATAATAAGGTCTCATTTCTGGAAACATAGCTCCATCACCAGATTCTGAAGCGGAAAAAACTAGCTTTCCATTTTTGTCTATTAAGTATACTTTATTTGGAACTTCCCTAGATATATAGCACAATAAATTTCATCAATTTAATTAGTAAATTTTCAAATTTATAACATTAAAAAATATTTACTAACATAGACGGTACAGAAAGAAGTACATTATATTTTTCTATGCGTACAGAATTCAGACCAAATTCCTTCCATTTATCTCTTATAAATTCAGCAATCCGAAGGCTTTCATCACTTCCTGCCCTATGAACTTCTTGAGTAAAGTATCTAATAGTAAAAATTTCAACTAATTCAAGTATTAAATTATTCAAAACATTTACAAAGAATATAAATAATAAATAACATTTTAATAACCTTAAATTATTTCCAATTTTAACAGGATCAACATTATCTTGAAATAAATTTACATATTGTTTTTGATAACTGTATAAAGCTGATGACTGAGGACAAGTGTTCTCTTTCTTTAATATAACTTCATGAACACCACGACGAATGAAATAGCCAAATATGAGGCCAATAAAAAATAAAGAAACAAGGAACAACACCTTAAAAAAAAATAAATAAATACAATTATCATTGAAATATCTAAAATAAAAAAAAAAATATTAATTTAAAATTTACCTTCAAAACTTTTCCTTTTCTTCCCGAAAACCATCCTTCAGATGCAATTTGCACATGTGGTTGTTGAGCATCAGGTGGAATATCCATGTCCACATTTTCTGTTTCTACATCCCATTTAGTATAAGCTTTCTTACCACGTATATAATCTGTCATTTTGGGCTGTATAAGCTAGTTACAAAAATCTGTAAAATTAAATTATTAATTTAGAACATGTGAATAATTCAGTTTATGAAATTTGTCACAGTAAACCTAAAATAGTAAGTGTGTATATATATATATTTAACTCAATATTAACCAAATGCTAACTAATTTAATGTAAATAAGTATAGAACTTACAGCTTATCTACTTTTACCTAATTTTTAATAGATATTTCTAATGCATTAAAAAGTATATAGCATACACTGTTTAAAATGTTCTGGATAATTTACAAACATTTTCTCATTTAAGTTTAGTTAATGAGATATTTGAAAATTATTAAATTATAGATTTAGAATACAATAGAAAAAAGTTAAATATGATTATTACATTTTTATAATTTATGAATGTTATATTTGCTTAAACTTATTACAAATTAAAAATTATTCCTTATTATTTATTTAATATAAATTTTATTTTTAAATTAAATAAAATGTGAGCTTCATTATAATGGAGCATCTTAACTCTTATTTTCATTTGATATTTGAGATAAGGATTATCTGAATAGAATAAAATACAAAAAGTATGATTATAAGTATGATGATGTACATTTCTTATTCACTTGCTTAAATACATTTTATATCCTGACTTGCCATCAGTTATGTTAAATACTCATAGATATGATAAGTTGATTATGAAGAATGGGTTAATCCATATTTAAGTAGGTTAAGAAATAATTATTTTACAAATATATATTAATTACCTCTGTTATCTACAAAATATACAATTTAATTTTTTAACCATCAAATTAACTTTATAACCAATATTAATAATGGCAAACTTTTATAAAAATATTTCTTTATATTAAAATGTAACATATGGAATGCACTATTTCAGTTGAAAATAATAATTTATTTAAATTATAAATTTATATCACTTACCTATAAATAATATTAAAAATTCATATTATTTTAGTACTATTTAGTACTATACACATTAGTTACTGTTAAAATTAATCAATATAGAAATTATTTTATTTTTAAATGCATTACCAATTTATGTTCTTAATATAATTTAATCAATAGTTGAATCAATATTTTTATTAAATATAATATAATGATTGTCATAACAGTCATTTTTGTAAAGTTTTTTCTTATATCATTTAGTTACATTACTTTCATGATGATAAACATAAAGAAATTTTTTTTTAATCTAATTCAAATATCCATACTTACTATTTATTAATATTTAAATCTGTAACCAAAATGAAAACATTAATCAATTATTGTATGAGTAATTTATCAATAGTTAACATTTAATGTAACTTTATATAAATAATAATTATAAATAATTTCATTATTTATATATTTCTATCGCATAAATCATGTTTCTTGATAAATGTTATTTAACCTATCAAGCAAACATCTATTATTACATATTTTATGAAATATATAGTGAAATGTTTTGCATGAATAATTCACAATATACTGTATATGTAATAAATTATTCAACCCTCGGCAAAAATTTCCAAGAGTTGTATTTTACAAAAATGTACAAAAACTAAAGTCATGACTTTTAGGTTGATAAAATATCCTGATAACATCCATATTCAAACTATGATAATCAAGCTGTACATTTTGTTCCATTTGTTTATGACTCAGGCATTGCCTTTCAATCCAAGAATGATTTCAGCAAATATATTAATGATCTGACTAAAAGACTTCATATTTGACATGGAATGCTATGGAAAAACTTAAAATCATGTCTAAGAAGAATACTCTTCACACCCCCCCTTTTTTTTTGCAAATTTTCAGTCTTTCATAGACTACACTATACTTGTATGGACCTCTGCAGCATGTTCCCACCAAAAGATCCTCGATGATACTATTTCTAAAGTTTACTTATTTTAACAAATGGCCCAATTACCATTCACAAACTCTTCAGATGTTGCCCATTGCCACTTAGGCTTTCCTGACTCATTCAGATGCATTAATTATTTTGACCAACTTTTTACGCACCAATTTGTCAATGGTTAGATCTTGTTCTGCTACATTAATTAACTTTAGAATTCCCTCTTTTCATTCTAAACAGTCCTCATTTCTATTCATAACTCATTGCCATCTTAATATTACTATCCATTCTTCCTTTTATTGGTATCATATATCCATTAATAAATTAGAAAATTTACTGTATCTTGATTATAAAAATTTTATTTTTTTAGAAAATTAATATTGATATATTTCATTATTGTTTTATTAAATCTTTCAAGGAAGTTACCTGTTTAGAATTCCATCCATTTGAACAGATTTTAGCATCTGGAAGTAGAGATTATACAGTAAAATTCTTTGATTTTTCCAAACCATCAGTTAAGAGAGCTTTTAAAACTATACATGTGAGTTGAATGTAAAGTAATACACTATATTAATAGATCAGAAAATGAGATTACAAGTAATTTGTGACACTAAAAACTTTAATGTATTTACTGTATATANTGTTCTGCTACATTAATTAACTTTAGAATTCCCTCTTTTCATTCTAAACAGTCCTCATTTCTATTCATAACTCATTGCCATCTTAATATTACTATCCATTCTTCCTTTTATTGGTATCATATATCCATTAATAAATTAGAAAATTTACTGTATCTTGATTATAAAAATTTTAAAAATCATTTTGTCATAAACTATTATATAATTAAATATATTGTATTATTCGTATTGTTTTTATACTTTCACTTTCTATTTTATTATTTTTGTATTTGCTTTTATGGCGTTTTGTTTACTAATTGTTAAAAGAAGGTGACAATTTTTATCCCATACAACATCACCTGTAATTTACTGTAAAATAAATAAATTAAACTAAATATCATATTTTTATAATCGAAATGTAGCTGTACAGTTCTGTAGAGTTTTAAATTATAAGCTGCATTATTAACAGGAAGTTACCAGATAAATGACACTTCAAAGCAATCCAAAACAATTGTATTTCTGATAAATTCAAAATTTTTTTCCACAGTATTCAATGATACTATTTACTATATAATTTTTTGATTTATTTGATATACAAATAGACTCTATAATCATTATAATAATAATTAATAAAGTAAGAATTGCATCACAATAAGATGATGCAATTTTTACTTTATCAATAAATTAGTAAATACAATAAAATAAAAAGTTTCATAATAATCTCAATCATGCAAACTTTCCCTTATATAGAACAGTGGAATAAAAAATAAAAATAAGCATTCCTAGTCACATAATCTCTTGTCATATGAGAATGTAAGGAAGAGCTAGATTTGTGTTCTCAAGGGTATACATTTACATAGCAATAAATTGGAAATTTAAACAGGTTATAGTTTATTAATATAATTACAAATTACACAAATTAAACTGTATATTAACTCTTTCTGCCCTGTGATCACCGAGAGGGTAATTAAACGTCTTAATTGCATTCAAAATTATTATGTATTTATTTATGTTTTAATGAAAATTTAATGTATAAATCATAGCAAAATATTTAATAAATTAGAAGTAAAAACACGTTATAGATAAAGATATAATTCTTGTTACTTTTCATAGGATAGCTGATAGTATATTATGTATTTATTTATGTTATTTATAAAAGTGCAAAGTGTAAAGTAATAAAATGTCTACATTTTTAATTAGTCTAAATTCGTTATATTTTATCATGTTATAATTTTTTGTTATTCTTTCTTCAAAATATTTGATACTAGAGCAGAGCTAACTGAAGGATATATCATTTAAATATTTGTTAACTAATATTAAATTTTTCAATAAATAGATTAAATACTTTCAAGACAATACTAATTCTAATTCTAATTTTCATAATTCTGAATAAAGAATTTTATTTTAGTTTTCAAAACAATGAAATCCATTTATACAACAGAGAATATAATATATAATTACAGAAATATTATACAAATAAATTTGATTAGCAAATTACTATTTACTATCAATCAAACAATATTTTATTGATTAATGCTACAAATTTATATAACTAAATTATATAAAATTCAATCAATCTTAATGAAATTACATAAATTATANATATTTAATAAATTAGAATTAACAACAGGGCTTAACATTATTGAATATTTTTTTTAATTTAATAATTCAACAATAAATTGATTAATACATGTTAAAGAGGTGTTCAAATTTATAATCTAGTAGAAGTTACTTTTAGTTAATTTGTATGTGTAATAACATACACACAATCACCTAAAAGTAACATCTACCGTATTTATGTTAAAATATTCGTTAAAGTGTATATTTTGTGTATGTTTGTACACGGTTTATAATTACAACACGCTAAACTGGATAAATTAGGTAATTACTTACAGAATAAGGAAGTTAAAACGACATAAACGGTTATCGAAACGCAAAGGATAACTTCTCTCTCATAACCGGTCAACCTCTTGTTTGTCTCCGATCGTGCGAGAACACGAAAATAAAATTTCTGTATCGAAAACTGGCGTATAAATAAAAATTTATTATTAAATTTCCTGTTATTTAAATTGTTACGGTATTAAAAAAATTACGTAATTTGTATTTTTTCTCTTTTTTGATTAATTCGGTTATTTTATTTTTATGTACGTATTTTAACGGCCGTAGAGGGCGTTGTTGTTAGCGGTTGAAGCGGCTTTTTGTAGTTTGGTGTGATTTTTGATCGTGCCGGAAATTCGTGAAGAATTATTTTTAGATTTATTGTTTCCAAAATGCCTCAAGAATTAGAATCGCCCGGCGTTAAAGATAGAGAAGCTTTATATAGATTGATTATTAGGTAAATCGTGCTTTATAATTAAAGTATGAGTGATTGAAGTAGAGGTTACTTTTAGATCACTTGCTTATGTGTTTATATACGTGTAAAATACCTAAAAGTAAATTGCACCGTTTGAATAGGGGTAAATTTTATTGCCTTGTGATACACAAAACGAATGGTTTCATTCATCTACACTATCAAAAACAGACTGTAGCAAGCATTTTTATAGTTATTGCTTATACTGCTGGTTATGTACCTAAATGTATTTATTTGATAATTAAAAAATATTGGCGGGTGTTGACTGAGTTAAACTGAACTGTTTTAACTTGTTATTGAATGGTGGTTCTCGACCTTTCTGAGGCTGCGGAATACCATTCGTATACTTTTTATTACACGGAGCATTAGCGGCAATATATTCAAAACTTCGTAAATATTTTCAAGTTTACAGGCCCACCAGTGGCAAAGAGGTGTCGTCCGCTGAACACTGGGAGTTCAGTCATGGGTTTGCACCTTGCCAAGATGGGCTGGCCATGTGGAGTTTTCCAGGTTTTCTCCACATCTGTAATGCCTGAATAGGGGCTAGTTACCCTTAAAAAGACCTCCCAGAAGGCTGATTGCCCAAGTGTTGCATTGCCATAACAAACAAACAGACAATTTCCAAGTTTACTATTCTCAGGAAACAATAAACTAATAAACTTTAATGTATTGAATAAAATAGAAATGTGGAGTTGTCTACAAATGATAATATATTTTTAGTAATTGCAATAAAAACTTCAAAATCCTTTTTTTTTTCTACATGGAACGCTTGAGGCAGGTTTGCAGAATACTGGTTAAGAACCACTATTATTGAATAATCAATAATTTTTATTTTACAAGGTCATTAAGATAATTTTACTTTTTTCATCATAATCTTAAGTAAATATTTAATCATTTCAATTTTAAGTTCCCAATTAGTATTTGTTTAGCAATTATTTTACTTTATCAGTTACCAACCATTATGAAATGTGAAATGAATTGAAATGTAACATTCTTTGATTTTTCAAGAGATTTTAGTTGATGATTCTATTTATAATTAAAGTTTTTTTTATTTCTGCACATGATAATATTTATTGTAATAAAGATAAACTAATTACAGAGAGAGATACTTATCTCCTTTTATAAATTAGCACTGAAAAAATGTAAACTTTATAATATAACAAACTAATTAACAAAATTTACTTTGTTACAATAAATAATATTATTTCTATATATATTAATCTGTTCTTTATTTATTTTTTGTTCATATTTTGTAAATTTTTAATTGCAAATTTGTATAAACAAAGCCACCATTTTTGAAGTATCATAGCTCTTAAATAAATGTATTGTACATACTTTAAATATTGATAACAATATATAAAAATTATGTAACAATAAATACAGGTAAAATGAAATAAAACTAAAATAAAGTTAAAATAAAAATGATATGCCTGATTTTGTAAATCAATGTACTTAGTATATGCACATATATATTTAACTAAGTAATTGCATACTTTACTGGCTGTTGCATATGTTTATTTATTATCAATCATTGATTGCCATATGATTGATAATGCTTTGCAGTCTTTATTATTAATGCAATCGCCCTTTTGTGTAAACAATAGATTGTATGATAGAGTAACCATGCTTTAAAACGGACCAACTGATTTTGCAGTTTATAAAATTATTTCATCTATATAATCAGTAAATTCAGTAATTTAGATTTTAAAATATTTGAATCTAAAATACCAATATATGATGTGTAAAATCTAAAATACCAATATATATTGTAATGAATTTTTGTATGAATGAAATACTATAAAATATATTTTGCAATGTATGTAAACCTTTTAAGTCTTGATAAATTTTATGAAGAATTTTAAAGGTTTTTTTTTACTATTATAAAACTCTAGTATGTTGTTCATGTTGCAAATTACCAACATTTACCAAAATGTAGATAGTTACCTGTCAGGTGCTAGGGAATAAACAAATCTATAGATTGTCAGTTTATTTACATGAACTGACAATAAAATCTGATTTGAATAACTGATGGTAAGAGTATGGTCAAGTGGTCAGATGTAGATACTATTACAGCTGCATCTTGATCACTTGGAAATTTAAAGATCAGGTGGGTAGAGAGCATGGAGATAATTTCTCAGCTAGAATACAAACAGATACATACATTCTGGAATGATTGCTGGAACAAAAATGTGGAGTTTTATTTTATAACTGAAAATATCTAAATTTGATTTTATATAAATCATTTATTTGAATGGAATGTATGAAAATATTTTAAAAATGTAACTAAATTAAAGTTTCTTATTGAGTAGTGAATTATTATTTTCTTTAGATTAATAACAAAAATTAATAGTTTATGTAATATGTCAATATCATTAATTTCATAGATGATACAAAATATTTGCAATTTCAGTTTTTCTTATTGAGTTTTTATATCCTTTTGTTGTAATAGTTATACAAAACATTTTGAAAATTTATTATTTAATCATCTAAATATATAAAATTACTTGTCCTGACTGACTGATTGAGTGATTCATCATCGCCCAGAGCAAACCGCTGAACCTAAAGAGGTGAAATTTTGTACACAGTTAGGATTCATCATGAAAACGCACATTAAGAAGGGGTTTTACGAAATTTCCCTGCAGGCGGAGAGGGATAGGATTAAGGCTTAACCTGAAGAATGGCTTCTACTGTACTATTTTAGATGCGATTTTTTTGTTTTCAAGTACGTTTAGTCTTCATTGAGTATTTACATGTATTAAATTGATAACATTTCAGGCATTGTTATAAATATTTTTATATATTTCGATTTTTTAACCAAATGTTCGAACCATTTTAAATTTGAATTTGTTATTGCATATTGGTTTGATTATAGAATGATTGTAAACGTTCCAGAAAATTGATCAAATTGAAATCAGCATTTCTCATCATTCTCAGTGGTAGGTGTTATATAACAATTACTATGGTTGTTGAAGTACTGAATATGGGGTTTGCTTGTAAAATCTGTGCATGCAAACTTGTGGGTAACAGTTAGTTTAATGTATATAATTAATATACATAATTATATATTATTCTTGTTTTTAATTTATAATTAATGTGTATAATGTACAATAAATGTTTAAAAAGTGCAATTTAATTAACAAGTTATTCAAACTAAACTTAATCACATTTTGATTTAAAGAATTTTTATTTTTAGTCAATTATTTTATGATGGACACCAAACATTAGCTGTAAGTTTATCAAATTTAGTTAAAGCACATCCACCATGTCCACCTTCTGATAGACTACAGCATGTTGTTTCACAAGCATTAAAAATGGAACAAGGTAAATTTCAGAAAATAATGTTCTATTACATTATGCTTTTATTAAAAATTAATGTTTTTACTTTATTTTTTTAAGAACAAAAAGAACAGGGAATGAATTCTGAAAGTATTAATCCTGGAATTGGTATTGATTTAGAATATGAAACTGAAGGCAAAGGTACAATATATTATTAAAAGAAATTATAATTTGAATGATGATTTTGAATAATTATTCTATCATTTAAAACTTGATTTCTGTTGTTTGCAGCTCCTTCTCTTGCTCCAGAACCTGGTTTATATGAAACATGTTATGTCACATCACATAAAGCACCATGTCGAGCAGGAACTTTTAGTCCAGATGGTAAAAATATAAATTTAGAAATTGTTCTTATTACAAATATATGAAAATTAATAAATTGTATCTTCAATAAGAAAATGTTAAAATTTAACTTAAATTCATAATAGCAATTATTGAAATATTAAAATTTAACTTAAATTCATAATAGCAATTAGCTAATAATATATTTAAATATTGGTATTCTTTTATATTTAAATAATTTGTTGTATTTAGTTTAATAAAATGATTTTGAATACTATTATTTAGAAACTTTTTCAGTTTGTGTAAATTTAGATAACTTTGAACACAAGTAAAAAACAATGTGTAATGTATGTATGAAGAAATTCTTCCAAAGAAATTAAGTGCTAAGAATAAAATAAAATAGTATGGTAGATAGTTAAAAGATATATATTACACATTACATTAATATTAATAGTTTATTACAGATTTGTCAACAATTGAGTATTGATTGGTTATAGGCTAAATTTTAGTTTTATATTAACTAACTAGCCAATAACAAGTGTTGAAAGTAATGTCATATCAAAATTAAATGAATATAATTAAATCAACATATTAAACAAGTATTAAATTTTAGAATTCTTTATGAAAAATTCAAATATTCAGTAGGAATAAATAAACTATTATAAAACTCTAGTATGTTGTTCATGTTGCAAATTACCAACATTTACCAAAATGTAGATAGTTACCTGTCAGGTGCTAGGGAATAAACAAATCTATAGATTGTCAGTTTNTTAATTATGCAGTTTATTGTTAACTCTTAAAAAATAAAATAGATCATTTTCATTAATATTGTTTATTTAATTGTTCTTTGTTTTTTATTATAAATTTTATATATTTAATTTAAAAGCAATTAATTTGGCTGCAACTTGAAAAAATTTAATATTTGTAAATTTCCGCTGTCATCTGTATGTCTGTTGTTCCTAAATCTCGAGAACAGTGTTAGATAAATGTAAGTCAAAACCAGATATTGAAAGCTTAGCAGCAGGAGCTCTGATATATATGAACTTCCAGACTAGATTAGAAGTCATGTAATTTCAATTCAAAAATTTTCCCCAAGAATGGAGTTATACAGATGACTGGCATAACTCTGTTGTTATCAGGAAAAGTATGATGTAATCTGAGATTGAGAGAATATATTTTAAATTAAATAAATTAAAAGTATGATTAAAAATTGCAGCCTGGCATTGTGACGACATCACAATAATTTTTTTTGTATTTTTCAATTCTAAATTGATTTTATTATATAACTCTAAATCAGAGTTACAAAATCTGCAATAAGATGATAGCAGTAGAAAGATGGTGAAAAAATTTTAAAAAGGTTTTTAAATTTAGAAAAAAAGTTTCTGTATCTAATAAATTTTCCCATTATTCAATGACTTTTTGAAAAATAAACTTCATTTTTTTTTTGTATCCATTACTTACATGATACAAAATATGCTAGTAAAATCTATCTTTCTTTTTATTCTAGAGTATTAAGAAACAAAATATTATATATATGTTTATCATCAGAACTAAAATTTTGTTTGACTAAAAAAAATAACAAAGTACATCATATCATATAAATATCTTAAAAGTACCAATTTAAACTTTCTAAGTCTGTAATTTTACACCTTTTTAGGTCAGTTGGTAGCTACAGGTTCAGTTGATGCTTCTATCAAGGTAAAAATAGTTTAGTTTTATTATGTATATAATAAACTTTTGTATTTAAATCAAAATATTTAAAATCTATTATGCTTGTTCAGATCTTAGATGTTGACAGAATGTTAGCAAAAAGTGCCATGCCTGCTGATCTTGCTGCACAAGAATCTACTCAAATAAATATGGAAACTCATCCAGTTATAAGAACATTATATGATCATATAGAGGTATTAATATAAAAATTTTATTTTTTTAGAAAATTAATATTGATATATTTCATTATTGTTTTATTAAATCTTTCAAGGAAGTTACCTGTTTAGAATTCCATCCATTTGAACAGATTTTAGCATCTGGAAGTAGAGATTATACAGTAAAATTCTTTGATTTTTCCAAACCATCAGTTAAGAGAGCTTTTAAAACTATACATGTGAGTTGAATGTAAAGTAATACACTATATTAATAGATCAGAAAATGAGATTACAAGTAATTTGTGACACTAAAAACTTTAATGTATTTACTGTATATATTATTACTTATATTATGTATACATAAAATTGTTAGATTTAAAATCTTACAGTGAAAAAAAATTCATGTTTTTTTTTCTATTTGATTTATCACAACGTTTTTGAGGCATTATTATTATTATTATTATTATATTTTTTTTTTATATTTTGAAAAATCCATTTACTTATGAAAAAATTAAACTCATTTATATGTTACATTTTCAACAGATCATTTCTAGTAAAAAGCAAAATTGAATTCAACTATTTTTGTATGATCTTGTGATCTCATTTTATAATTTAATTTATTTAGAATTCAATAAATTTAGAAAAACAGATTTATCATCTAAATACAATAGATTGAAATTTTATATTAATTTGTTGTTAAAATATATTGATATAAGTTAAAAAAATTAAATAATTACTTTTATGTTGTTTACAACTTAGTGGTTTATGTGGATTAATCATGAAGATGAAACTATAATTTAGAAAAAACAGAAATTTTAAACTCTTGACTTTCTGAAACTTTATTTAGAAAATTTAAATTTAATAAAATACTGTAAAAGACAGAATTATGTTTTTTAGAATGAAAATGCATATCAATGTAATTTAAATTAGCAAACAAAATAAGAAAGAGAGAAAATATTTTGCTGAATATAATTGAGGTAGTCAAAATTATTATTATTTTTTGTTTCTATATTGTCTACTTGGACCTTGTTTATAAATAGAACTTATTATACTGGTGTAGTTTCTGATTAGCAAAGAGAGGAAGTCTTAGTCAAAAGTCAAAACAAAATACTTTTATTTTCACCTGAAAATAAAGATTGACTTCCTCTCTTTACTAATTAGAAACTGTAACAGTATAATAAGTCCTATTTATAAAGAAGGTTCAAGTAGACAATATAGAAACAAAAAAGAAAAATATTAAGGACATAGAGGTAAAAAGAATCAATAGTAAAAATTATAATAATATTTGACATGACGAATCACAAAAATGGAGAAAAATAAGTACATTGGAATTGATTAGATATTTCTTTTTAGCATTTAAGTTATGTTGTGATTTATCCATTTCAGATAGATCTAACTAGAAATAGGATATGCCAACAAAGAGAAGTTACACCTAATGGTGTAACTTTTCTCTTTGTTAGCATATCCTATGTAGGCAAACTACCATGAGTTTGGATAGATTCAAATTTGGGCATAGACTGGTATTTTTATGGCTATCTGAATGACAAATATTCATATTACTAAACTATTTTCAGTAAAATATTCATATTACAATATGCTTGAAAAATGTGTAAAATAAAATCATATTGCTGTTAATTTCAAAACTAAAAAACAATTATTAAAAAGTTTTTATGAAATCGAAAATTTGATGAGCCATAAATGATAGCTACGGAAATATTACTAAACATAATAATAATAATGGATTAATTGTATATAAAACATTAAAAATTAAATAATATCAGTTGATCAAAAGAAAATTGTTAACTTATTAGACTAGAGTTATATAATTGTTTTTATAAACATCAGCAGATATGAAATCTATGTCTGCTACTTGAGAAAAGTATGAAAATTTTGGCATATTTTTATATTAATCACATTTAGAAAGTTGTTAAACTTAGTTTTATTTTATGGAAATACTACATCCTCACAAGATTCAAAATTTGAATTTGAATCATTATAATTTGTATTTATCAATTAAAATTAACTGTAAATTTTTTTTTTTTTTTTTTACTTAAATATTGAATAACTGTATGTTTTGAAATATTTGCTTTATTATAATAGAAATGTGATAAGCTATGATTTTATTCTGGTATTTTTGAAACCGTGTCAGTAATTTATTTCAATTCAAACACAAATTATTTATCGTATTCATACAGACACTTGGCAAATCACAGAATTAAATTTTATTCAGTTGATACATGTTTTTTTTTTTTTTCTTACACGTTTCGGGCATTTCTTGCCCCTCTTCAGTCAACTAAAATAAAAGTTTACAAGTTACAACAGTATAAACAAACAAACATATAAGGTTATGTTATATTAAAAACATACCTTTTTTGATGAGTTTAAACAATTTTAAAATTTTTTCCATACACTTAAAACCTTTATGATAATACTTAAATACATTTTGATGAGACAGTGGGCAAGCTTAACTGGGAAGGAAAAGAAAGGGGGAGGAAAGGTCAGCAAAATACGTTTGTTCGAAAGACTAGTATGTAAATTTTAATTGTTAAATCAATTTAAATGTAATTTGAAGAGTATGGTAGAGATTTTAAAATTGTTTAAACTCATCAAAATGTATTTAAGTATTATCATAAAGGTTTTAAGTGTATGGAAAAAATTTTAAAATTATTTAAACTCATCAAAAAAGGTATGTTTTTAATATAACATAACCTTATATGTTTGTTTATTTATACTGTTGTAACTTGTGAACTTTTATTTTAGTTGACTGAAGAGGGGCAAGAAATGCCCAAAACGTGTAAGAAAAAAACACGTATCAACTGAATAAAATCTAATTCTGTGATTTGCCAAGTGTCTGTATGAATACGATAAATAATTTGTGTTTGAATTGAAACTATGATTTTATGTTGAAGTGATTATTAATTAATTTTATTATTTTTTTAATTACTACTAATTAGCCAGAGACATTCTCAAAATCCATCTGCCCCCTGGCATTGGAGAATGTTATTCAGTTGCCTTAGAATTATCTTAATTACCCAACTTTGTAGATCATTCTTTTCTCATTAGCTTTCTAAAATTGTTAAATGGAAGATGGAAAGTGGCTAATTGATAATGTTGAAATGATTGATTATAAATTATACAAATTAAAGTTTGATATATACTTGGTGTGATTCCAAAAGGAAGAATAGATAAAGTATAAAATCATTACATTTCTTATTTTCACTAGAAATTATTGAAATAGCAGTTATTTTTAAATTCATAATGTAATTATTGTTAGTCTGTGTTTTACACTTTTTGACAAGTTTTTCAAGAAATATCAGTTTATACTTTTTGCTTTTTTTATGTTATATAAGATTACTTTCTGTCTTTAAAGTCATACAATAAGCATTATTATATTTATTTTTATTTTAAAGAAAACTGATTGCTTTGGTATCAAGGAGTGATGCAGCACCTAAGCATCCTTCTGGATGCATCCTTGTCATTAGCATTAGTTATTCACTGTTGATCATTTTATATAGCAATTAACAAAGAAAAATATATATTTTTAGTAACATTGCTAGGTTTGATATATTTTTACAAAATAGACACCTTAAATTTTAGTATTATAAATCTGTCTTTAAAATTGAGTCTTTTTATAAAGTTTAAAGTTTTTCTTTCAATGGTGATTGAAATATTTTAGTGAATAAAGTATTATATAAAAATGTTCCAGCAGATTTTCATACATTTGAAAGTGTTCAATTATTCAGTAGAGTTTGGAAAATACTTGGACAATGATATCATGTTAAAAATAACTCCTGTCAGATAATTTTGAATGAATTTAAGGAAATTAAATTTCACATTACAAATAAATTATTATTATTATTATTACTTTTTTTGATTATTTTTAAAAATTACTGGAATAATGACATAATTATTTTATATTTAATTTATATGTTATTTCCTTCTTAAGTAAACATATTGAATAAAGCTTTTTGACTCTGATTAATCATTAAATGAAACAAAGGATAGTCATCCTTTAGAAGTTAAACACTGCAATTAAGAACCTTCAAGGATTGAAAACTCATTATGAGAATAGTTCAGTTCTAAAATAGGGAAAATATTTTATAGTTTTAAATTAAATTAAATGTTTGATGTGATTAAATTCATTATTCTAATTAAATCATACAAATAAATATGAAATAATATAATTAAAAATGTATATATAACTGTTAGGAAGCTGAGATGGTTCGTTGTCTATCATTTCATCCATCTGGAGATTATATGCTAGTTGGAACTCATCATCCTACATGTAAGTTTTTAAATTTTATTAAAGAATAATAAATAATTTTTTATATTGAATAATATTTCAATTTCAGTAAGGTTATATGATGTTCAGACGACCCAATGTTTTGTTTCCAGTATACCAGAAGATCAGCATAAAGGTCCTATTACTATGGTAAATTATTTTTATGTTTCAAAATTATAACTTTGTTTCAAATAACAATAAGTTTGTGTAAATTTTCTTATTTAGGTAAAATACAGTCCAACTGCTAATATGTATGTATCTTGTTCTAAAGATGGCGATATCAAAGTATGGGATGGTGTTAGTAATAAATGCATAAACACATTTCCTCAGGCTCATGATGGCAATGAAGTTTGTTCAGTTCTTTTTTCTAGAAATTCAAAAGTAAGTTGTAAAATTCACAGATTTATATAATGTGATTTTATAAACTTAATATAAGGTCACTAAACAAGGATTACTTTCATATAGTATGTACTATCAAGTGGTAAAGATTCACTAGTTAGGCTATGGGAATTATCAATGTCTCGTTGCCTTATTGCCTATACTGGTGCTGGTGCAACTGGTAAACAAGTCCATAGAGGCCAAGCTATCTTTAATCACACTGAAGATTATGGTAAATTTCAAATCAAACTTGTTAATAGTTTACATTTATATTGTTTAATAAAATGGATCTCTTTAAAACTAGTTTTATTTGCTGATGAAAAAACAACTAGTCTATGCTGTTGGGATGCAAGAAATGCAGAAAGACAGAGATTATTATCATTAGGTAAATTTTTAAATTTTTTTTTGTGTTAAATTTATTATGATCAAATTAATTAAAATTTTTTTTTATGTCTAGGACATAATAATGTTGTGCGTTACATAGTTCATTCTCCAACGGGACCAGCATTTCTCACCTGTAGTGATGATTTCAGAGCACGATTTTGGTACAGAAGAGCTGAATCTTGTGATTAATTATTTCTTCATTGTTTATTGTTTGTTTATTCATTCTGTGAATTTTCTACACATGTTTATTTTATAAACAAATAAAAGTTCATTTATGAAAGAAATATATTTTACACAAATATTTGAATATCGATTCTGAATTTTTCTCTCTGTGATTAATATATTTGAAGTAAATATTGACAGTCATTTTCACTTTAAAATTTTTTTATTTCAAATCTTTTAATACTACATTAAAATTTATTGACTTGCATATATTTAACAATAAAAACAAGTGAATAAATGATTTTTCTAAAATTATTAGTTTGTAATAATCTCCTGAAAGTGAAATATTAGCATCAGATACATTAAAGGAGTAAAACTGATGTTTTTCTTGTGGAGTTCTAGTTTAATAAGATTGTTTGTTTATATATCTGTAATTACTTGAATCTTAAATTTCTAGTATTATTTATATTATTATTAAATTGCATGCTTCTAGCCCTTCTGTTTACTGTTATTAATTATTTTGTTACTATTATCCTTTTAGGACTATGACATCTTTTGGGACAGTATACGTGGAGGTCAATTTTCAGATTGTGGTTTTTATTTGAAATTAATTAAAATATAATATTTAAGTATTCTTATAATTGAGATGAATTGATAATAATAATAATAAGCACAGAGCCCAAATGGTTAGGAGTTGAAAGCTGAAATTTGGTACACAGTTAGGGTATGTCATGAGAATGTACACTAAGAAGGTATTTCTCGAAATTCCTCCTCGCAGGGGAGAGGGTTAAGTATTACCCTGAATAACTCAGCTTCTACTGTAATATTTTAGATGTGTTTTTGTGGGAAATTGAACATATTTTTAGACCCATCTAAAAATTCTCTAATTTGCCTTGGAAGAAGGGGGACCAAATTCTTGCACCCAGTAAAAGTGGGTAAGATCGGCTATGTAAAATAACCTTTGTAGTTATATAACCCAAATTCTATAATATAATACAATAAAAGGGTTAGAAGTATGAAATTAGCTAAACTTAAAGTTTGTTCTTATTTCTTGATCAGGCAATGTCGGGCTTACCTGCTAGTTTTACAATAAACTTATTCAAGTTTATAGCCTATTAATAAATATGCATAGGCTGTAAACTTAAATAAGAAGTTTATTGTAAAACTAGTTAAATATTGTATTTTTATGTCAAATAAAAACTAAAATCTGAAAACCAGTCTTCATGTATGATAAACCCCAAAAGACATTGTAGTTCTAATAGGATAATAGTAATAAAATAATTTATAATTTCGATTACTATCTTTAATGATATGAATATTATGGTATTTCAGTTGAAAATTGGGCTCTACAACCTATACTTTACTATTTAATAACCAAAATTAAATGTCTAGTAGCAAATTGTAGTTAAAATTTTAAACAACTTGTATGTATAAAGATTGATGATTTTATGTAAATAAGAAAGATACATATTATTATAAGAGAATAATTATTTTCTCCAAAATAATTGATTCAATATGATTTTATAATTTAGATAATACAGTTTACATCATCGTAATATTGGACTAATGCATCTCTGCAATGTGTATGTGCATTCATGTAAATTATATGGTTTAATACATAATTTTATTTATAATTAATTGATCTCTGTTTTCAAGGTACTTTTTTATTGTATTAACATCATTATTGTTGTTATCTTTTATAGAGCTATTTTTAATTGGTTAGTTAATATTATCATTTAGTCATATTTTTAACAGATTTCATATACATTTAATAAACTTATAATTCATACTTTTTTACTTTAATATAGATTTATTTTATACAACCCAATTTTCAAATAACTTGTTTATTATGGATAAAATTTACTTAAGTTATGTAAAAATGAAATAAGTTTATTCTTATTGATATATTGAAAAATCTCTTGTTTGACTCATACAAATGGTTGAGAATGGATTAATCTGTACAATGTGGTGTTCTTAAAATAGTTTTTGCTCTAACACAGTTCAAGAATTGGAGATATCCTCATACAAAACAACACAATTTTTAAGTGCAAACACTCATTCAATATTTTTTATTCTAGCAAGCATACATCATGTCTCATATTTACCCCTGAATTTTAGAGTAATGAAATTTTCAATGTTATATTATGCTTTTCATCAGATTTTCTTTAATGAGAACTGATTATACAGTTTTTCTTCTTCCTTGCCCTTGTTTCCTATTCTGGGTTTCCTGTAAATCAGATATCACGTGTCATTTGTGATAGTGCTCTAAATGAACCTGAAAGCCTTGCTGTGTTGTGTTCCTATAGATTAAATTAAAAGTTACTACATGAAAATACAGTTTAACCTGATTATAATGTCATCCATGGAACTGGCAATTTTTTGATGTTACAACCGAGTGTCGTTATGTGTGGGGTCATAATTTCAGTCCCATAAAAAGTACCAACTGTGTTTAAGAATCTATTATAAAATCCATTCTTATTTAACATCGTATGTATTACCATGAAATTATTTCTTAATGGTAATATAGTATACTGTATCTACTATGGTAATAATAATTTATTATCATATGTATAAAAGTGCAAACTAAATGTTTAAATCAACTTTATTTACATTATTATGTCTAAGTTTACATCAGTGTAATATAAAAGGTAATTTTTGAATTTTTAAAGAAATTTCTATTTGTCTTAAGTTTCAATAATGGTGGCACTTCCGGTTTTGAGAATAATGTCAAATCACAAGGCAACAAAAGGTTAAACTAATGTATGCCAATAAAAAAGACACAATAACAATATTCACTTAAAAAAGTCAGTTATTTTAGATTGTAGGTGTTTTTCACCTAAAAATTGTTTATCAATGTCATTTTCTAAATCATACACTTTATTCATTATTTTTGATGAAGTTTTTTCCAAGACCTTAAAACATTTTCAATAATCTTATTGCATTATGTTCTTCCCTGGTTGACAGCACATCATTTTCTCTGTCTGACGTTTTATCTTCATCATTTTTTTCATCTGAAGATTTAATTTGCTCAACATTATCTGCATCTGTTTAAAGTAGCACGAGTAACTATGCAGATTGACCAATCGTCATGTCGTTTAAAGAGGTGAACCTCACCCCATTGAAGTCAGGTGAGAGTACCGTCCACAGTTGTTCTAGGAAGTGGACTCTGACCCTAGAAACTGAAGACATAGTACATGTACTGTATTTTCTTTGTTAAATAAAATTTGTAAATCTGGGAGTGCTTTAAATATGACATTAAAACAGGGTTTTGTATCGTTACAAGTGGGTTTTTTAACATTATCTCATGTAGCAAAATCAATCGTAAGACTGATAAAAATTTGACGCTATATTAGGGTTGTTGTTACATTTGATGACGTTATAATCGGATTAAACTATATTACATTTTTAAAGATCTCTTAGCAAATACAAGCAAATGAAAGTATCAGATTTTATGAAAAAAAAATGAAAAAATCAAGATGTTGCTGATACTTCAGATTAAGGTCAACAAGAAAGCTCAGATGATATTTTGCCAAAAAGAAATGTCCTAATTTAAGTATTAAGCAGTGAAGAAAAATTTAATATTAACATTACTTTTGATTGTGATTGTTAGTTAATTATTGATAGTTTTAATAAACAAAATTTTAATTACAAAAAAGATTAGTATATTTTTGCTAACTTTTGGAACCTGACGTTTTGTTTTATAGAGCACAGATTTGTTTTTGGAATCAAACTACTGTGTTATATGGAGGATGTCTTTACTCTGCTTATCTGTATGTAATATTTTATTTCATTTTGTAAGAATTGATGATAATTAATTCTGAATGAAGTTTGATAGATATTTTATTAGGTTAGTTATTTTTTTATTGATTAATAAGTATATATATATATTATTACCTATTATTTGGGTAAATCATTAACTGAAATTCTCTTTTGAAATAATTTGTCCAAATTTATGCAGAAAAATTGATCAGTAAAAATATATAGAGAAAAATGCAATTTTATGATAAGAAAAACAATAATAAATCTGAAATAGCTAGTTTCTTTTTAGCATGATGTGAAGTAAAAGTATTGTCTTTGAATCATTGTATATTCAAAGTTAAACTAGAATTTAATATATATTATGTATAATGGATTGAATTAATTTTCAACAATTTCAATGCATATTAATACAATACACCCAGTATCGAGTTGAGAAATTCATCTTGATCCTTGTTAAATTAATTAATACAAGAAAATTTTTGTATGTGATGATGATTTTGTAGGAGATAGCACTAAAAATATGAATGCTACAAATTTGTCTCATGCATTTTTTGAATTTAGATTTCATTAGAAATTTGATAGTGTAATATAATGCAATATATCAGATTCCATCCATTTAACATTTTATAAATCTTAAAAATCAAATAGTGAATTCATGGAATACATTATTTGATTTTTAAGATAGATAATTGAAAAATATTTAATTGAAATCATGAGATGATAGAAAATTAAATATTAAGATGTCAACAAATTTACAAAACTCATTACTATTTTAAAACAGTTAACTAAATATCTTTTCTAAAGTTGTAAAAAAATAAATTTGTCTAATTTTATGCTTTGGCTTGTGACACTGAATAATGCACTATCTCAGGGCCGGATCATCGAATAGACAAATGAGACAAATGTCTAGGGCCCGGTCAAACTGTCTATTTTGAAAAGATTTGTAAATAAGATATTTTACTTTTCTGTTAGCCAGCTGTATATAATAAACAAATAAACAAAAATATATTGCTTTTTATATTGTTATTGTGAATTCTAAAATCTAAAGAAAATGTGTTCTTATTTTTTTCTTATTGAAAGTAATTCTTCCGATAATTTAGATTTTTTTTTATAGCGATAAGAATAATATTAACTATATGTTTTCTTAATATCCTGTGNAAAAATTAAATATTTTTAAGTGTGTTTTGTTATAATTAATAACCCGAGCACCACAGGGTATATGGGTTATCTTAAGAAAGCATCGAATAGGTTGAAAAATACACGTTGGTACACATGGTAGTCATCTACTACCACTTGTGCCAACGTATATCACATACAATAATTGTTTCCTTCGCTGTGTTTCGTCATTTTTATTTCTGTCCTTAATCTTTTTGTACGTAAATAATATTTTAACTTTGTACAGACTCGTTCTATCGTATTTTATAGAGAAATTAAAGTTAAAAATATTTCTCTCAAATGAAGAAGAAAATTCTTAGAGCAATCGACAGCA